TCTTCTCGTGGTGTTCCTCTCCCCAACAGAAGAAAATACTAGAAAACTGAGGACAAAATTTCTTAACAAAACACTAGAAAATAAGTTCAGCATATTAATTTGGATTGGACAGTTTTGATGGATAATAATATAAGTTTTGTTAGCATGGCTTTTTAACCAGAATGACTGGAAGGAGGGGTACTTCCCCTCCCCAAGAAACTAAACACTTTCAGGTCTCAGAAAGCACACATTAATCCTGACAGCAGGAAAGCTGGTCTGCAGCTACGGGAAAGCCACAGAGCAGCTGAGAGTTGCTCAGAGAGGAAATGCTGTGTCCGACCGTCCCTTCTGTCTCTCAACGCCCAGACTCAGGGAGGGAGTGGAGACCTAGAAACCTGCAGGCCCAGATGATGTATTTGATGTTGCCACCAACACAGGGATCCCACACAGACCCCAAACTCCTCTGTCCTGGCTTCCTGCCAGCCAACGCTCTTGGGAAGAAGTTCCATAGCATGCAGAGATGTTTGTTTTAAATGAGACTACACAAACTTTCTTGATCTCCTGTAACAGCCCAATGGGCAGGATCGCTGCCCTACTCTACAATCTAGTCAGGCTCAAGGTTGGTACTGACCTCAGCGGAGCTTGGACCAGATCCCACTGCAAGATCTTCACAGCAGCTACTCCACTTGTAGGACCAGATCCTGAACATCACTTCCCCTCTCCAGGCACTAAATGACTGGGCAAGTTTTCAAAAGAGCTCATTCCACCAGGTAAAACACACCCTGGAAAAGCCTGGCCCTAAATGGAGGCTCTGAATACTTGGAAACTAACTCCAGGATAACTCTGAAAGCTTCACACAAAACGTATGGAATAACCATCTCTCAAATGCTGAGGGAGTCTGGCACAGGAAGAAAGGAGGTGGCCACAAATCTGAGCTTCAGGACACTTAATTAACTTTCTAACTGCTCTCAGTGTTCTTGGCAGCTCCCATCAAATATCTGTGGAGAAAATGTTTTCACATGAGGAGACACTGGAAAATTGTCTGGCATGACAGAGACTCAATACCATGAAGGGGCATGGTGTGAGAATGCTGACTGTGCCAGTGCTATAGCACAAAGATCCCAAACTGAACAGCATTGCACTTGCAGCATAGCTCACTCAGTAAAATTCATTATTAGTAACTCAGGTCAGAAATGTAGCTGTTAACATTTTTGGAAGCACAACCAGACATTAGGTTGTGAGAGGGGAGTGAAACAGCCCAAAAAAGGCCCTCAATATGTTCCAGACCTTCCACCCCCTCCATTGAAGCACATGGCACAACAGAGTAGGGGAAGCCTGTGAGAGAACAGAGGCAAATACCTGGAAAAGCAAAATTTTTATGTTTCTAAATTGACACTGGAATTATTACCACCAATAATAATTCTGTCAGAAAAGCAGTTACTGTTTAAATCCTCCTGATGAAAACATGTATGGAGCTTTTCAGAAAGACCAACACTTCAGAAGCCATCACGGAACTGCTAAGGTGAGGATCAGAGCAATGAGATCAACTTGACTGCGCATAATTTTGTTGGAACGTCATCATTAAAGGAATATCAAATACCAGCAATACAGAACTTCTTCTTCAGTTTCATGCATCAAAGATCTGCATTTACTACTCCACATTTTCAGTGTTTCAGCAGGAAAAATGAACCATGAAAAGCCATATTAGATCTTCTCAGGACACATTTACAATCACCCGCATTTAAAATTTTCAGTCAAAGAGTTCTGACACACTTATTCAGAAACAGCCCAAAAGACTAACACTTTTATCACCCGCAACTTTACCAGCTATTATCTGAAGTGCAAATAAGTTCCATTATTATAGGTGAAAGCACTGTAGGGAAGAAACAATATAAAAAAAAAAAAAAAGGCAAGTATTAAATATTGCTTAAAGAGACTTTTCCACTACACATTTACATGTCTCTGGGCCAGACTCTCATCTTGCTTATGCAGAGAGCCAAATCGCAAATGAAGTCACCAGCATACAGCGCTATGTGCAGGGATGCTAGCACAAAGCCTCAGCAGCATAGCAAACTGCCCATCACCCGGCCAAAGGTCTGCCTGCTGCAAACACAATCATGCTTGGAAGGAAATGGTGACACTCTGGACACACCACTGCTCACTGTCCTGCTGGCTGCCACCAGGGACAAAGAGAAAATAAGAAATAGGCAGTTAAAATTCTGAATTACTTTGACTGAATGCTTTGGTTTGCCTTCCTTCAAGGAAATCATTGCTTTTTTTTTTTTTTTTTTTTTGCTTTTTTTTTTATTATTTTCTTGGCCATCAAACAGTCTGTCAGCTTCATAAACAGAAACTACTAGTATGCTATAAACAAACTCTTAAGATCATTTCCTAGGGGGCTTTCCACAAGACAGTCAATGATTCTGATTTTCTTTTGGTCATAGAATGCTTCCCAAAATTAGCATTTTTCCAGAGCCATTCATTTTCTACAAAGAATAAATAATGTAGAAAAAAGGAACTGCCCAACCTAAGTGGTGCCAGATGAGGTTTCTGGAATCACAGAGCTTTGTTTTAAAGATCCCCAACTGCTGTAAAGTCATAGCAGCAAACTAATGCAAAAAATCCGATGCCTTGAAAGATATCCTGAAGCTATACAGTGCCAAAACATTGGGCTGTAAGACTTCCTGGACATTTGCATCCACATGACTCAAGCTCAAATTTCAAATACTTTTCACTTTTTCCTTCTGACATAATATTTAATGAAACCAGAGTTCAGTAATAGTATCAGTCCTGCTATACATGTCTCGTAGCAGTTTCTTCCTAGACAGCTGTTTGTGTGCTTTACACTTACAACCTGTTTGTGTTTGGTTTAAAAAGGAGGTTTTCCATATGCTTTTAAAAAATGGAAAAACTATTGCTTCAACTGATTGTACACTGCATTTTTTAACATACATATGCATCCAAACACTGAGCATAAAATAGACATGAAATTGATTTTGAAAGCACCAACAGCATCTAAAACCACATTATGTCTGAATACATGAAAACATTTGTCATAAAGCAACTGCACCTGTGATTACATTAAAGCCACCACACGTGTAAGTCTGTCCAGAGCTGATTTTTCTTTAGTGAAAAGTTTCAATGTTCCTGACATGGGAAAAACATTTGATGTGTATACTAGGTAGTAGTTAATGCATGGAATGTGCATGTATTTAGCAACAGAGTCTGTCATCCCAAAACCTAAAAGTATCAATATATTCAAGATGCAGTTACAAAGTACACTAACAAATCCCAACAAAACTATCAATGTGTTTATGAAGCCCCAGAGAGCAGCACTCACAGGCAGGCCAGAAAATGAGTAGCAACACCCCCAATATCGCTGCTTTCATTTCGTTCTCTTCCATTAATAGCTACAGTGTGTTTTTACTGCTGTATCTTAACGATTTGGAGGTAAATTACACCAACAAATCAAAGACTATGGTAAAGCAACCTTACACAACCTCATTTCCCATGGACTTCAGAGAGTCTGCACAAGTTAGAGGGTAGCAAAATTAAATCACTGTGCTCAGCGAATCAAACTTGCCCCAGTAAAGAAGGACCTGAAGCTTCCTACCCTCCATCACCCACTTTGCTTCCTCTCATCTTGCCCACACACAGCTCTCCCCCATAGTATTGTACATTACATTAGAAGAGACCCAGAACTCTAGTTTATGAAAGAATTAAATTCTAGCAATATGAGAATACACTGCAACCATCTGCTACTAAATCCTTTCCCAGAAATGGCCTCAAACATTGGATTTTGGTAAGAATATTGAATTTCCAAATGAGCAGGCAGAGAATCACTAATGCACTACTATGAACACCTGGCCATTTGTACATCCTCACGAAGCCACTTCACCAAACAATGTTCAGCCCTGGAGCAGGGCAGTGGTGGGCAGCAAGGGGTCCAGACGATGGTACAAACCAAGTGACAGCTTGGCCAGACCTAACTGTCTGCCAGAGAAAAGCATCTGAAACAGCAGCGTTTTCCCACTCAGACCCACAGGCAGGGACAGGATGCAGTTACGGAAGCCAGCTCTGCAACACGGCACCCCTATCTGCTCCTCGCTACCTGACCCCACCAACTGTACCACCCGCAGAAGAAAAGCAAGAGCGACTCCAAAAGGACGGCTGGTGGGCGCAGCTCAGCTCAGCTCAGGGATGCCTAGCATTACGGCATGAGGCTAGGCAGCAAGAGCACCGCTGTGTCTCCCACTCCAGGGTAAAATTTATTTGCATGTAGCAATCCCTATTACCCATACGTGTTAAGAGAAGCAGGAAAACTTATAAACAGGCTTATAAACTGCATGACCTCGGAAACTATGCACCCACTGGGATTTATTATCTAGAAACAATGTCTGGCATCAAGCTTCCAGGAAAATTTAGGTTTCAAAGCAAATAGCAGCCATCTCTTAGACAGGCACACAAAATTGCTCGAAGATCTTGCTTGTTTTCAAAACCTACTTCAGAGTCCTCATGGGAGCATTGCCAAGGCCAGCGGCTCCAAAATCCCAGCTGCACTGGTGAAGGCTCCTGACCCTCAAGTCCCGAACCCAACACAGAGGGTACATTTGCAAATAATTTAAAAAAAAAGATTTCAGAAGACTTCTGGCACTGTTTCAACCAGTGCCGCTGCCACAGACTGCAAGCCAAAAATCAGAGCATACTGCTTAGAACCTTCGATAAGGTCTACTGCAAACACTGCAATGAAAACCATGCCCAGAAAGTATAGCAAGCCCTGGACTGGAGCCCCAGCGTTCCAAGCAGGGAGAGCAAGTCTTGAAAACCTGAAGCACCCCCTGGCCACTGCACCAGCAAGGAGATGGGGAGGCACACACATGTTCAGTACATTCACCCACATTTTACTCAACACAAACCAGGAATGCTGCCACAGAAATTATAGGGGAAAAATCCTCAGAAAAGACAAAATCTCAGATCATCTCTTTCACATTAAGCATGAATAGTGCTAATGCCTGTATTACCTGCAAAATCACAGTCTTCTCAAATACCACACCAGAGACTCGCTGATCGATCTGGCATATTCCTGCAAAGTCCCAGCTGTGCAGTTTCCCATTTAACTGACTGTCCCACTAACTCTGGAGAAAATACAAATAACTGCAATGTTGCTATAGGTGAAAGAATCACAGAAGAGGAAAGGCACAGCAGAAGAAAAAGCAGGCTTCACTGCATTACATTTTCAAGGAAATCCCAGAAAACTGGATATTTACTTTTTTCTAACTTATTCTTCTAACTCATTTAATTCAATTCAACATATCTTCCAGAAACAGCGAGGCTTTTTCATTAAGCAGCAAGACAACAGGAAAAGCTTCCATTAGAGAGAAGTGGAATGGAGAACAAAGTGACCAAAAGAAAAAACAAAACAACAACAACAACAAAAAAAAAAAAAACAAACAAAACCATAAAAAGTTATCACTGCTTATTCCAGCAAAACGAGAAACCAAAGCCTCAGGAAGGGGGGGGGGGGGCATATTTCAGTAGCAGATTAAGCTTTCAGCAGCAAGTGTCCATGACAGCAATGGGGATAAGTCCAGTTTATGCCGCAGCTCCCTGCATTTTCATAACAGAGCTGCTGATGACGCTTCATTCCTATTGCGTATGCATGAGCTCTGCTGCTGACCTCACTACTGGAATTGTACCCATCTAGTCAAAGCCAAAAATTTCAGCACAAACTCTGAAACTTGACAGGACTCAGCACATTTGGAACAAAAGTAGATTTTACACAAACAGCCACAGACCAGGAACATGCAGCCTTACCATACACTGCATGGGACTGGAAAAGGAGACATGAGAGCAATAGACAACCACTGCACACTTTGCCAGAACATGAATGGAGCCTTCACACTGTGATGCTCGCCACTATTTAAAACACACACAGCTTGCTTTAGCAACGAGGGTAGGACTGACCCATACCAACAGGCATCCACTTCCAAAGTACTTCATACTTTCCTTTACTGAACCAGGCCAAAAGAAATACTCTGAAAGATGAAAATATTTTCTCTACCGTTTTACTGATTACAGAACTACAGCATGGACTAACAACAGACCTGCACTTCGCCACAGCTACATATAAACACAAGACACATCTGGGCCTAAATTACGCCACATGCAACTCACACATTAAAACATCAAGAAAACCATGCCGGCTCTACACTTTTTGCACCCATACATCAGCTCAAAGGAAACCCTACAGAAGATGGGGTTGGACCTGCCATCATTGATTCCCCAAATGTCCTAGAGTAGTGACCTGACATAACCTATATTGACAGAACACATGAATAGAGACCGTAAGGCACCATCTAGTCTACTCAGTGATCAAACACCCCACCACCACAACCAAAATGCCATGACCAGCACCCTCTCAACACATGCTTGCCAGCCACGATGAGGACTTGTGATGCCAGGAACAAGCAGAGGGCCTCCTTCAACACTCTAGTGGCACCAGGATTTGTTTCACAGCAGCTGGGTACCAAGAGAGAGGGATCGAGGGACAAAGAGAGCAACATGGAACACCTGAAACTAAATTACCATGCTGCAGGGGAGAAAGAAGGATAAAAATATGTATTTATTGCCTTGCACAAGCTCTCCTCAGGGGGCCAGACAGTGCTGCCAGGAGCTCTGGCTGGCTGGTGGTGCACAACATGTGATTCTCAGAGGCAGAAGGGGAGCCACTTGAAATGACCAGATTTCAAAGGTTTTTTTGGAGGGGAAAAAGATATAAATCAAAGGCATTGGGGATACTAGATAGTTTATTACCCATGAAACTCTAGCTCATGTGCATATGGTTTAGGATTCAGTTTTCAATTACATAATCACATCCTAGTTACCCCAAACATCCTTACAGTCACTGCATTAATTTTGTTCACCAGTCACTATGTTGTTATTTAACCTTTTGCGTGAACACGGAATTACTATGGGCTGTTCCAAGGCTGCTTTCTTCTCCCCATTTTAGGACAAGTCCAAAGCATCATTTAATTCAGTAATTTTGGATCCCTCTGGCTTGTTTTATTCGAGCACCTACAGCTCTTCGTGTACTTCTCCAGCAACTCCTGTCAGTAAGAACTGCCTTTACAGGCACTCTGCATTTGGGGAGGCTCAGCATGCCTGAAGCTTCCAGCCAGAGGCAACCAACAGTAGGTTGTGCAAAGTTAGTGGCCACTGCTGAGAACTTCGGTGTTCATGGCTCCCCTTCAGCAACACGGAGGGGCACGGGCTCCCCTCTCTGCAGACCTGTGCTGTGCTGCAACAGGTAAGCAAGAGAGGCTCAGCAAGCATCCTCCCGCCAGCAGCAGCCCTGGCTCCTACAGCACAGGGCCTTTCTCACCGACTCCCTAAGGCAAGACCTCTGTGCAGGATATACAATGTGGCTAAATAAGGTTATATGCACAATCTTATTCTGCAAAACATAAGCACTTGGTTCTCTTTAGCCTTACATGCTCTTGCAAGACAGTATCAGATACTTCTGATATCAGTTATTATATTATATACTTCTGATACCTTGTTATTATAACACCTCCTAATTCCACAAAGGCGGTAGGTAGCCTGTCCGTATAATCCAGACCAACACAACACTGCTGAACACAGTTTTCCCCTTTTCTTTTCTTTCCCTCACCTCCCCTTTGTCAGCAATTCTTGGGTGCAGCCTCACCTCAGGTCCTTGTCTGCAGCAGCAGCCCCCCAGGAACACTCCCACTTCCAGAACCAGCCCAAGATTAACTGCTTAACACAGGTGATCTTTGCTGCTTGTGTTTAGTGCAGAGGTTTCTGGCTAACACAGGGAAATAAATCAATAGCAATGCACTCACATAGTCTTTACCCTGGAATCCATCAACTATGGATATGGCACATCATTCCTATTCAGTAATAATCAAGTTTCTCATTGTACAGAAAAAGTATGCCTTCCTAGGAACTGGAATTACTCCCATTACCGGCTCATGCAGATTAAAGCTCAAGGATCTGCTCAGCTTGGCTTTGCTATCAACTCAAAATTAAACTGCTGAATTTTCTGCCTGATGATATCAAACTACATTCATATTGCAGTGGCAATAATCACCTTTTCTTGTCATCTGCTAAGACCATTGATTCTTATTTAAAATCACCAGTTTTCTCTCGGTAGATACCTGCCCTGGAAAACTCTATGAACTCGACACAGAGGAACTACAAAGTGAGTTTTATTTCATCTTACTCTCTGCCTGCATCAAATTTCACCCGGAATATGAAATACGCATAAAAGCATACATTAAAAGAGACAGGACTAGCAGAGCCCGACAAGAGGGTACGGGTCGCCCGGCGGGGCGCGGTGGAGCGGCAGGAGGGACCCAAGTTCCCATGAGCCATCCAGACCTGTAGATTTGGGGGCAGCAAACGGCTCCTGCGGGATTTTGTGTCCCACTCACCCCGCTTTGCGGGTCCTGTGCGACAGCGGCGAGGACGGCCCCCCTCTACGCTCCCCACACCGCGGATTCAGGCGGCTGCCGAGCCGGGCCGGCAGGGCTCCCCCTCACCTGAGGAGTGCGCGGGGAGAAACCCCTGAACAGCACTTCCCTCAACGGACCCCCCGAGCCGCGCCGCCTCCCGGGGCTGGGGTGTCAGCGGCCGCCGCCGCCGAGAGAGCCGGAGCCGCCGGGCAGCGGCAGCCGGGACTCGGAATGCCGCCGGGGCAGCGCCCCCCGCACAGTGTGTGCGTGCGTGTCTGTGTGCGTGTGCCCTGTCCCCGTTCCCTCCCCCCCCCCCCCCAACATGCCCACCCTCCAGCGGAGGCAGGGGGAGAAGTTGCAACAAACTCCTAGTACCGGCGGGTGATGCTCGGCCGGCCCTGCTCCCGCCACCCTCCCCGGGCAGCCCCTTCGGCTCGCCCCCCCCCGCCCGCACCTACCTGCAGCCGCTCCGTGGCCGGCTGCCACATGGTGCCGCGGCGGCGGGAGGCGCTGCCGGGCGGGCGCCGAGCGCGGATCTCTGCGGGCGCGCTCCCCCCCGCGCCGCTCCCCGCCCCGCCCGCCGCTCCGCCCACGCGTGTCGGGCGCGGGTCGGAGGGGGCCACGTGCGGAGCCGCTCGGCGGCGCCCGTGGTGCTGCATCTACTCTTCGGGGGGGGCCGACACCTGCGGGGTGCCCCCAGGGGACGCGCAGGGGCCCCGGTGGTCCCCGTCCTACCCCTCCCCGCTGGCGCTCAATGTGCGGTGCCCGGGAAGGTGGAGGGGGCCCCGAGGGGAGCCCGCCTTGGGGTCTCCCGCTCACAGCAGCGGGAACTTTTTCCTCCTGTTCTGCAAGAGGTTTAAACCCTGTTCCGCAAGACCCTGCCCGCACACAGGTTGCTGCGGGCACTGAAGGGGCACGGAGGGCAGGGAACAACGCTTTGGGTCCAGGATTCCTTATCCCCTGTCAGTGCCGGTGTGACTGTGGGGCCTACACCACGCTGGCGTCAAGGCTACGCTCAGCTGTTTCACAGGGCAGCACAAGAACAGGCTTTGGGATCCACCTCGTCCTGTTAATGGGGCAGTAAAATACCCTATGGAGCATCTCAACCACCTTTCCCCACTAACAGCCTGAACCTCTGGTGCTATGTTTGGGGTGCAGATGGAGCAGTGGGGTCACAGCACGGTGGGAAGCTGCCCCAGCCCTGCTGAACCTATGCCAAGCAGCATGGCATTTGCCCTCACATCAGTGGCAGCCCAGCCCAGGTCCCAGCTGCAGTTTGAGTTCTTCCTGCCTGAGCCACAAAGTGGCAGAAAACCATGCCCGCCACCTAAATCTGACAGAGAAGGGAGCAGCAGATTAAGGCATAAGCACTTGTAGTCAACGCTGTTTCCAAACGCTGAGGTGCAAAAGCTCATTTCCTCCTGTCCTAGAGCATGTCCCACAGCACATACCCACCCACACCCCCCAAACCTGCTGAGATACACCCACACTGCAGCTTACCTGAGCCACACCATGGCGAAGCTGGTCTCAGCTCCAGCCAGCACAGGGATGTATGAGAAAAATTGTTGTCAGTGTATTAAAATATTGTATGAATCTCAACGTTCACATCACCCCACAATAATCTCACCTTATGTCTCCACCTATTTAGATGGATCCACTCTGCAATGCCTGACAGGCAGGAGAGAGCAATGCTGTTAACTGTGCCAAACAAGCCTGCTAACAGCACCCTCCACCAGCATATGACATCCCTTTCAGCAGTAGAAGGCAAAACCCCAAACCTGAGTCCTCTTTTGCTATCCAAGAGGTTAAAGGCAAAACCTCCAGAAGTACCTAAATTATTTGTGTTGCCTGGGACATATTTTAAGACACGGCAGAGCCACATCCCGACT